CAGCTCAGGATGGTCCCTGTCAGCTCAGGATGGTCCTTGGTCAGCTCAGGCACTGCTCTGGTGCAGAGCTGAGCAGGTTCAGCCCTCTCACAGGAGCATCCCCACTACCCTGCAGATAATTTGCAGCCGTGCTCCACGGCTGAATTTGCTCCCTGGGTGCGCACACCCTGCTGGACTCTGGGCTAACCCAACTGAGAGGATCCCATTTTTGTCAGATACTCTTGGGCTGGGACTCTCTTTCTCAGAAATCGGGATGGGTGTTCAATAAATTCAATAAATTCTCACACCTGTGTGAGCAGTGTGTGAAACAAGACTTTTGGGCTGGAAACGGCCTCGTTGTTGCTGAGATTGCTGTAAACCCAAGCACACCGCTGCCAGCCTCCAGGGACCAGCTCATCATAAAATCCCCATTAAAGCTGAGCACGGAGGCAGCAGCAGGCTGCACGGAGGTAAAGCCATTGCTCCTTGGGCAGAGGCTCTGCTGGTCACTGCTCAGGAACTCCCCCAGCTGCTGCTGCACAGCCTGGGGAGAGCTGGAGAAAATCTGGGGGCGAGTTACTAAAAGCATCTCAGAACTGTCCTGGAAACAGCACAGGGCTGGCCTGGAAGGGATCTGAGAGTTGACCCCGCTCCATCGCCCTGCCACGGGCAGGGGCACCAGGCTGCTCCAAGGCTGCCCAGGATCCAGGGGCACCCAGGGATGGCGTGGCAGGAATCTGTGCCCGGGAGGGCTGTTGGCATTCCCTGAGCAGGGCAGGGCTGTGCCAGCTCTGAAGCCAGCCTGCTCTCAGGCTGGGTTCTGGGCATGCACAAATTCGAGCTCAGACATGAAACAGCCACAGGCAAGAAGCCCAAAGGTCACCTAAATGAAATATTGAAGTATTAATTGCCTTTTCCTTCCCAAAGCAAACGAGACTTACGTTTGAAATGACAAAGCTCATTGTCATGGCTTCATCCATTCTAGCAGGGGGCAGGATGAGGGCGGCTGGCACCGGGCTGGCACCGGGCTGGCACCGGGCTGGGGATGCCAGGGAGGCACCCGAGACAGGAGCAGCTCCTTCAGCCTGTGGGACACGCACAGGGCCAAGGGGAGGGCATGCAGGGCAGCTGGGCACACCCGGAGTGTGCTGGGCACACCCAGAGTGATGTTTGCACACCCACAGCACTGCTGGGCACACCCAGAGTGTGCTGGGCACACCCGGAGTGATGTTACACACCCAGAATATGCTCTGCACACCCAGAGTGTGCTGTACACACCCAGGGCAGCTGGGCACACCCAGAGTGTGCTGGGCACACCCGGAGTGATGTTACACACCCAGAGTATGCTCTGCACACCCAGAGTGTGCTGTACACACCCAGGGCAGCTGGGCACACCCAGAGCGATGTTTGCACACCCAGACCCTGCTGTGCACACCCAGACCCTGCTGTGCACACCCACAGTGCTGTTGCACACCCACAGTGCTGCTGTACACACCCAGAACTCTGCTGTGTACACCCAGACCCTGCTGTACACACCCAGAACTCTGTTGTGTACACCCAGACCCTGCTGTGCACACCCAGAACTCTGTTGCAGCCTGGCAGTCACTGGGTGAGGCCCAGCAATAAACGATTATACAATAAATGATTATACAATAAACAATTATACAATGAATGATTATACAATAAATTATTATACAATAAACGATTATACAAGAAACAATTATACAAGAAACTATTATATGATAAATGGTTATACAATAAATGATTATATAATAAACAACTATACAATAAACGATTACACAATAAACGATTACACAATTAAAAAATCACACAATAAACCACTCTATAATAAATGCTAAATGCCAGCTCAGAGCTGCACCTGCCAGGCCGCGCATGGGGCAGCAATGCCCCAGGAGGAGCTGCCCTCCTCAGCTGCACACAGCCAGCCTGCCAGCTGTGCCCAGCTGCTGCCCTGGCAATGGTGCCCACCCAGCTGTGCCCCTGCCAGCTGTGCCCAGATGCTGCCCTGGCAATGGTGCCCACTCAGCTGTGCCCAGATGCTGCCCTGGCAATGGTGCCCACCCAGCTGTGCCCCTGCCAGCTGTGCCCAGCTGCTGCCCTGGCAATGGTGCCCACCCCGCTGCACCCCTGGCAGCCCCGTCTGCCGCAGACCCCAGCCCCAGCTCCGTGCCAGCCCCTCCCAGCAGGGCAGAGGGAGGCAGGGCCCCGAGAGGCAGCCCTGGCAGCCTGGGGCAGCGGGCACACGGGCAGGGCACTCTCACGTGAGAGATGGCACCTGGGACGGGGCAAGGTGACAGCAAAGATCCCAACACTCCTTTTCTTTGGGGAAAACCAGCTGAACTTACAGCTGAGATGGAGATGGTGGAGCTCACACCTTGGTCATGGGCTGGGGAACAGCTGGGGCAGACCACGGGATCCCAGGCTGGGTTGGGGTGGAGAGGGCCTCAAATCCCACCCAGTGCCACCCTGCATGGCAGGGACACCTCCACTGCCCCAGGAGCTCCATCCCAGTGTCCAGCCTGGCCTGGGCACTGCCAGGATCCAGGGACAGCCCCAGCTGCTCTGGGCACCCGTGCACAGGAGCAGCACAGCAGGGGAGGTTTGGGAGTGAAGAATTCCTTTGGAATTCTGCAGCGGAGGGACAGCCCTTGGTGGGTTTAGAGGAGACAATCCACGTGCAAAGGCTGAAGGGACAAATTTCCACCCGGCACAGAAATTTTCTCTTTCTGGACAAAAGGTGGATCTCCCAAGAGCAGCGCTCACCCCAATCCCTCTTTCCCACGTTTTCATGCCCATGGGGTGTGGCACGTCCCCTCCCCAGCCCTGGGCTGGAAGAGCAGAGCACAGCCTGCCCAGGGAGGAGAAATCCCCGTGTGGGCAGCACCTGCAGGGCCCTGGTGGGAAGAGAGGCAGCCCCTGGCAGCGAGCAATGCTCGGTCCACAACCTGCAGTCATGACGGATCTGCCAAGGTTTTCACACACAACGCTGCGAGATGGCATCAATTCCCAGGATAGATGATTCCATCCTTCAATATAGCAGACAAAAATTGCATTCTTAATCCAAAACTCTGCTCCTTATGGGAAATAGAAGGAATTATGAGTAATAACTCTAGCGAGTTTTTAATAACCTGGTTCCCCTTCTCGTCTCCTTGTTTGATCAGACGTGGTTTGCCTACGACAACATCATTAAAGTTGGTTCTCTTGCTTTGTCCTGGAGCCCAGCAATGCTCCTGGCATGGCTCTGGGAGCAGTATCCACACACCTGCACTTTTCCTATGAATCTGGGGTGGGAAGCTCAAAGCTGGGTGAGAGGAGTCCTAATTTGCTTTTTTCTGTGCTTCATTACCTGATCCTGCCCAGGCTGCTGCCTCAGCAGTGCTGCTGGAGCATTTTGTCCCTAATTGCAAGGCTCATTTGCGGCTGTAGAGCCCCATAAATGAAACCATGGTCACAGTCCTGGCTCCTAATCCTCACCTGCCACCAGCCAGAGCTGTGAGAGCACACAACAAACTCCCGGGGCTGAAAAAACCCTCTTAGAAAGGCTTGCCAGGACCCCTTCCTGCTGCAGGGAGGGAGTTTCAATTCCCAGCTGGCTTTGCCCAGTTTAAAATCCGAGCTCTGCATCCAGGAGTTTCTCCTCCAGGCAGGCAGGGCTGTGGGTGCTCCTCTCTCAGCTGCGGGACACGCAGGCAGCACCATCACCCCCAGCCCCAGGGCTGCCCGTGCCCTGCTCAGTGCCAGGAATTGTGCTCAGCACAGGACTGGCACCTTGCAAAGAGCTCGCCGTGCTCCCGGGGCTGTCTGTACAGCCAGGAAAGAAAAGAGAGCTGTGGGAAAAATAAATAAATACAAACCTTGGTTGTGGTATATGAGTTATAGACATTTTCTTTTTGCTTTCTAGACTGATCAATGGGCAACAAGGAATCACTATTAAAAATTATAGTACAAGATCCCTTCTTACTGTTACCAATGTGACAGAAGAGCACTTTGGCAACTATACTTGTGTCGCTGCCAACAGGCTAGGGACGACCAATGCCAGCCTGCCTCTCAACCGTAAGTACGGGGACGTGTGGCCGTGCCCAGGGGGTTCCTGCAGCCCCGAGGGGGGCACGGCCCCAGAGGGGCAGCGTGCCCGTGCCCCTGAACCCCTGGAGGTGCCCTCGTGCCCGCCGGGGCTGCTCCGTGCTGGGAAGGGTTTGGGCTCCAAGCTGGGCTCTGAATTGGGCTCTGATTTGGGCTCTGAGTTGGGCTCTGAGCTGGGCTCTGAGTTGGGCTCTGAATTGGGCTCTGAGTTGGGCTCTGAGCTGGGCTCTGAGTTGGGCTCTGAGTTGGGCTCTGAGCTGGGCTCTGAGCTGGGCTCTGATTTGGGCTCTGAGCTGGGCTCTGAATTGGGCTCTGAGCTGGGCTCTGAATTGGGCTCCGAGCTGGGCTCTGATTTGGGCTCCGAGCTGGGCTCTGAGCTGGGCTCCGAGTTGGGCTCTGATTTGGGCTCTGAGCTGGGCTCTGATTTGGGCTCTGATTTGGGCTCTGAGTTGGGCTCTGAGCTGGGCTTCGAGCTGGGCTCTGAGTTGGGCTCTGAGCTGGGCTCTGAGTTGGGCTCTGAGTT